CATGGTCATCTATAATACAGGAGAGTGAAACAAGAAGAATATAGTTGTCAGCATGTATTGCAGATAGACTATTTGAATCAATGGCACTCACCACGTAGGGTCCTGTAATCTCCCTGCTGCTCCCCTGCATTGAAAGCAGGAGAGACCATGAAACAAATCCAGCTAGCTCTGGAGTTGCAGGCAGTCTGTGCTTATGTGAGGGGACATAGGTCCTAGGCATCTTCTGTGAAAGGGTATGTAGGAAATAAATTTGAATTCTTTGGCTGCTGCTCAGTTTGAATATTTATCATTAAGAATAACAAATGGTGCTTGGAGTTTCAAAGTACTTCAAAACATCAATTAATATCTTAACATATCATCTTTCTCTGGTGCTCATCTGGCAATACATAAAAAAATTTAACAACCAGACTGGGAAAAAGATTATAATTTTAAAAATGATCAAAAGAAAGCAGGAAGAATGAGCAAGAGAAAGAGACGGGGAAAAACAAATTATTGCAAAATTAAGTCATGAGCAGAGTTCTTACCAGCTTTCTGCCCAATGGCCAGTGCTGTGACTTGAGAAGTGACATAAAACAGCATATTTTCCCCTTGCAATATTTACTCCACAGACCTTGGAGACCATCAATTCTAGAGTTTTGCACTGGTGAGTGAAGATCTGGGTGCCTCCAAAGAGGTAAAGTGTCCTAGAACTGTCTGCTGTCCTCTACAATAGCAGAGCACAAGACAAACGAAGGGCCTACAACTGTTTATTGTTAGTGAATTCAACAAAAAACAATTTATATTCATCTATCAAGGAATATGCAAGTGGAAGCAAATATTATGGTCATGTTCGTTTGTTTCTGATTACAAAATGTATGTAAATGTATATGCAAATTAAGTGCAACTATCAGGCTCATGGCAAAGTGCCAAACTAGCCCCTTGTATTGCAAAGATTAGGGTGGCTGGAAGGAAGATACAGTGACTGTGAGACTAAGCAGTCCCTTCAGATACAGCCAAGACTGGGCTGCTGGAAAGGGGCAGGAGGAGGATAAATCCTGCAGTAACTTGTCACTTGAAGCAAAGCTGAGGAACTACAGAAAAATCTGTTCCCGCTGCAGTTAAAAGTGTGATAATTACAGAGCAACGGGCTCCTCTGTCATTCAGCAGGCAGCATCCCCAGGAAATCTTGCTCTGTAATCAAGGGAAGAGGTGCAATCAAGCCCCTATTCAGGCTTCGTTTAGAAACAGCCCCTGCAGGCAAGACAAAGGCTTCAGCATGGTGCTTTGTGAAGTTGGTGATCACATCAACGTCTTGGTTCTGCAACTACAAGCAGTTAGTGTCATTTCGAAGCACATCTTCCGTTCACCTGTCCTCACAAAGTCCAGAAGGAGTCTTGGAAGAGGGGTGAAGTCTTGGGCCAAAATACAGCAGTACTGGAGGAAGAGAAAATTTCTTGCAGACTGACAGCATGATCCTGAATGAGCAGATAGCAACATGCTCATCTGGCTTCTACAGCAGCTCAGTTTGCAAAATTTGGATGGGGAAGGTTTTGTTGGGGTTTTTTTCAAGCAATATGAATGTATCTCTGCTGCTCAAATTCTCTTCTCAGGAACATCATTCTCTTGGCAGCAGCCTGATCCCACAGAGATTGATGAGGTTTATTAAAGGAGAAGATGTCTCTCAGTTCAGCTTTCATGTCTAATGCCACCATTGCCCAGAAACATACAAACTAATTGCTACTCAAATCAGCCATCCTTTGTACCCTACAGAGCTCTCAGATTCAATGAACCAGTTTACTCCAACTGCAATAAAAATAGTCCCACATTTTATTCAAAACAGCAAACCCTTACAAGGTGTGCACGCCATTTGCACTCCCACTGTATAAACTCAGACACAGAAATCGGACCTGCTCAGCTACCCATCTGGGCATGTGGCTGCCATGACAGACACAATCCTGCTAATTCCAGATGCATATGAAGTGCCAAAATCTTTTCTGCACACAGGGGGCACATTACGGACAGGATTCCTAGTCTTGTCTCAGTATGGAGTGGTTGTTCTCTGTTGGCATTCACTATAACTGGAACTGCACTTGGACTTACAGTAGCCCCTAATACTGTAAGTGGAGCTTCATTCCATCACTCTAGAGAATCAGCAGGTTCCACTCTCTATCCACTCTCTAAAATCTGTCTCTGGCTACAGAATAAATAAAATTGCTGTGGTTTTACCATCTGCAGGCATGTGTATCAGTCAATAGCCAAGTAATGGCCTGGACACTGTCAAGAGAACTCATTATTTAAAAAGTACATATTACATTTAGCTGTTCAAACAGAACTTGTTATTGATCAGATCCCATCAGTTCCCACTAAAAGAGCCAGCTCTGGTGACAAAATGAAAATACGCACACAGACTACAGACTAGTCAATACTGTAATGGAGTTCAGGATCCCTCCAAAAAGGGAGTTGTTGATATCCGGTTGAAAGAGCACGTCTTTTTCAAAAATGAGACTGGGAATAAAATAACCATGTTACTTCTGCAAACATCTAAAGGCAGGATAAGGAAACAAAACAAAAGTGAACAGTTCTGACAACAAACATTTCAACTTCTTGGGGGGGAGCAAACAAAGAAAATATGAGTTGTTTAATGGCCAATCCAGCCACAGTCAGGAAGAGCCTGTATCCAATTGTGCCATTCCTGCCACATCCTACTGTTTATCAGTGGAGGTTCTGCCACACTCACAGAATTGAAAGACATCATCTTTGGAGTTTGCTATATTTTTCAAAGTCATATAAAAAGGTACCTAAACTTAATTTGGTTCCTGCTTTGTTTTCTTGCCACTTTTCTTTGTCTGCTTGTTTCCACTCACTAAACAGCTTTTCTTTTGTTTTTCCCCCTCTCACAATCTGCACATTGTAACATTTCTCAGCGACAGCATTTAATACACAGAAATCACCACTGCTACAGCATAAAGGAGTCATAAAAGAAGGTTGATTATAAAATTCTAATGTAAACCAAATAGACACGATTTAGAAATACACGACAAAACTGTGGAAATCTCTGCATTTGATCCATTGCAAAAGTTGTCCACGATCATCTTCTCTGAGAGTGAACAGACACCAACTAACAGTAAGTTAAAAATGTTTACCTAAGAAGGCACATCGTGACAAACTTCTTTGCTCACCCTTAATAGAAGGTTCGGCTGGAAACTGATGAATCACTATAGGAAACAAACAGCAATGGTGACTCACGGCTTCAAAAGGTAACAATAGCACTGCTTGATGCATGGTGTCTAAAACTGAAATATCCCTGGAATCATTAGAAGATGGATTTCAGATTGCTCCACCCACCCAGGAAGTGCAGGAACTTCACCACCTGAGCCTTGGTTAGAGCTCCCACAATTGCCCCACAGGTACATGGAATTCCTGCTCACTTACAGTCTTTTCTCAAGATGTTCACTGAAAACCGTACGCAGTTGATGTCTTGAGCAGTTCTGGTGGAGTCTGGATCCAATAGCCCACCACTCGAAAGAGCCTTACAATTTTATGTTTCAGGGTCCACATGCCTGTGTTGCTCTTGCAATCTTCCATCACCATAACTGGCATTTAGACATGAGGATCAGGCCTGGGGGGGCCCAGCTCCTGAACTGCCCAGTCACACCCAGCAGTCTCTCCAGCCCCACGTAACTCATGGTTCAAGCACAGAAAATAGTTCTGGCTCATTATTAGTTTGGACTTGATCAGTTCAGAACAAATGGCCAAAATTTTGGTGTTCAGGACTTCACAGGCTCACAACTACTGTCTAATGGTCATGTACTGTTACCGTGCTGTTTGGATATAAAACAAATTTTCTGTTATCATTAAAATCACCTTAAAACGAATGCACATATGGATGCTATGTTTATTTTTCAAACCTTCCCTTCCTATAGAAAAATATTTGCTTCTCCATATATACTGTAAACGTAAGCTGTAGGGCTTTTTGTTTAGATATCAAGAGTATAAGGACTATTTTCAGCACTTCTCACATTCTAGATACTAAACTCCAGTTATTCTAGTTTCATTGCCAAAATAAGTGAACAAATGCTAGTTGTGAAAATATACTATTGCAAGTATTTCCATTTTGACAAAATTTAGCTTGGTTTTTTTTCCCTTGAGATTGGACACTTCTTGTCCAGGTTTAATCTTTGGCTTAAGCTCAAACTCTTGTGTTTAAAGCCAAATGTCACAAAAAAATGGTCTGATGAGATACTCAAACTCCCACTGGGATTTCGAGTTGACTTACTTAAGCCTCCTGCACATACAGAGTTAATTACCATCACACTGCTAAAGACCAAGGGAAAACCCCTGAAATACAATTCAGCATGGGGTTTGCATGACTTAAAACTTTCAGACTCAAATTCTAAAAGAGAGTAGAAACAATGTAGAAACATGCAAATTCCTCTTCTCTTTGCAACACTAAGATCAATTTAAAAACCAATTTAAGCAATTTAATCAAGGATGCTAAAACAATCAAGGTGCCATTCAGCAATTAGTATGCAAGCAATTCAAGGGAAGCACAGGGCTTCCACAGACTAGCAACAGCCAACATCAAATAAGGTATGCAATGTCCTGCCAATCAGTTATGTTAGCCATATATACATGGCTCCTGTTTGCTGACACTTCACTCAGTTTTCAGGGACACAGGGTAGTGGAATAGCCATTGCTTTTACCAACACTAACCTAGGGTACGTCTGTATTTACCAGTTTATGTTCTCTACCCTTCGTAGGAAATTGCTGACGAAATGAATGATGACGATGACAACGTGTCCATGCTACAAATGCAGCATCTTTTCAGAAAGGTGCTTCTTGCAATTGTTCATGCTATCTACTCCCATTTCATTACTTCCAGCTGGAATAGGAAGGGTGGAACTTTAATTCCTCTGATAACCACCAGTAGGAATAAGAACTCCGTCACAGCCCTGCTAAATAACAAATTAACTCTTTGGATTATGTAAAGGTCAATGGAAAGCACAGAAGTATTCTCTTACCTTCAGAACACAGCTTGCCAGCATATCCAGTGGCTGAGCAGTCACAGTGTGGTTCGCCATCCAGAAGGAAGCAAGTGCCACCATTTTCACAGGGGTTTTCTGAGCAAAGTCCTTCCATTTCCAGTCGGACCCCTTGACTACCCAGGAGCTGTGGCTCAGAGTTGCCGTATTTCAGATCCAGGATAAATCCTTGAAATGGAGGCTCACTCAGAACACCATCAAGAGTCAAGGCAGCAGGACGGATGTCCAGTGGGACTCCACCAACAAAAAGATCACTGACGATATTCATATACTGGCGTTGCGGACGCACCTCACCCGGCTTGGCCTCACCATCCAGCACTAGCACTGTCCGAAGGCGATTGCGGCTGACCATCAGGAAGTGCCAGTTGCTATCATTTACCTGCTTGTCTGTGATAACTGTTGTCTCTGCACAGTCCACACTGAACTGGAGTTGGATGCGCCCATCAACAAGGGACAGACAGAGGAAGTCACAGACACCACCATCATCAAAATAGAGAAGCAGCCCAGCAGAGACGTTGGTCTTGAACTGGAAGCTGAGTTCGCTCCTAGTGCTGGCATCCCAGCGGAGGTAGCGGGCCCACTGGTTGGGGATGCCCATGAACTCCAGACCCAAACAGAGACCCAGCAAGGAGCCCAGCAGCAAACTCACCTTCAAGGTGAAGTAGACAGAATGCAGAGTGAAGCCCATTGTTTCAACCTGCTCTTCCCTAGGAGAAAAACAGAAGCCACACTACTGGGAGGAGAACCCCAGCAGTCAACACCAAGCGTTAAATCCAAAGGGAAGAGGAAGAGAGTAGAAGGAGTGACAGAGTGGGAGAGCAAGTGGAAAGTGAGATAGCAAGTTCACGTGACCAAGAGGAAATGTCTCCTCTGCAGGGAAAGATCTCAATTATCTTTAAGGATCCAGACACTTTTATCTCAGAAGTGCAAGGTATTTGAAAAGACTTCTCCAGATGGTACACTTTTGTGAAGGGCAAAATAACCCACAGTGATTTGTTTTAGTAGAACACAAAGATGACACTGGTGTTCCAGGAGTAAGGAAAGGGAGAGCCGAAGTCCAAGTCTAAAATTCTTGTTTTCTAGAAGTGATGACAATATTGGCGGTGGTGGCAGTGAGATAGAAGAGAGAGCGAATTCATAAAGCATGTGAACCTCAAGAGGGCAAAAATAAAGTCAGTCTTCATGGTGCACTGGTGGATACCCAGCCCATAATTCACTGATTGGCACTCACGGAGCTTGCAGGACCTGTGGGATCAAGAGAAAAAGAAAGGGAAAAGTTAGTCCTACTACTCACTATATCTTTACCATGAAGCTTATTAACATCTTGTACAATAACTCATTTACATTTCTTGATACTCTAGATGCTTCTTCACGCTTGCAATTGGCTATGCAGTTCTCCAAAGCAGCAAGGACATCTGTGTTCTCAAAACTAAGAGGACCAAACAGAGAACTCACAAAGTGATGTGCACACATAACAATGCTGAGCAATGTAAAAACACACCACATTATTTAACTCCGTTGATGCATGCAATCTCATTGACTTAACTGAGAAATGGTTCTGGAGCTTTCCCAGTAACAATTACCACGAAAATGCTCAGGGCAAAGACCAGAGTTCCTCAGAGTTTAAGATCTGATAAAGGGCAAGAGAAGACATTATCCAAACTTCCCATTCCATTGCTTACATTATGCTTCCTAGCACACCAAGCAAGCACTAGAGAAGACAACCGTGCAGTCAGCAATAGCTGCTTTTACTTTATGTGTCTCACACACTTCAGAGACTCCAACATGGACCTCTGCAACCTGGAAACATGCTATGCAAATTATATATGGTAACCTGCAGCTTAGATGATAGCAAACTTGCAGCTTAGATGCTAAGAACTGTCTTAACACATAATCACTTACCCTGCTCTAGTTGTTTGGCAAAAAGGCAAAGTTCACCCCTAACTAACAGCAAATAATTGTAACTGCCTTTTCTGAGTTACATCTGTTAACACTGGAATTTAACTCACTTCTGCATATTTGCATGTGGGTGACTGTATGCCTGGTGTAGGAGGATGTTTTAAGTGACAAGTAAAGACAGCAAAAAGCTATGCTCATTCTTTGAAAAGTCTACCTAAAAGGAAAATAAGTTTTTTATTAACAGAGGTGTTTGTTCACGAAGATGCGTTGGGCACAAGAACAGCTCTGGAAATGGCCATAGATACAAACCAGGAAAGGAGGTGATGAGAACCAAGGCCTTCAGCCTCAGAAGCCAGCATGAATACAGCTTTCGCAAATTGGGACACAAATATTGCTTGGGAAAAATATTTTGTGCTGTGGACAATGAGAGTTGCTGGGGCTGCTGTTGCTCACAGCAAATGCCTTTCAACCCCACTGCCCACCTTGCTCTGAAGGAGAAGGCCCACAGACACTGAAGAAACAGGCAATGCTGAGAAGTTTCTGTTTGGTAAGGGCAGAGGTTGAGCTGGAGGAGAACCACTAGGAAACTGAGGGGAGAGTTCATGAGTCACAGCCTCACCTGCCTTAGTGACCTGCAGAAGCCATAAGTCTCCAGAGTTGTCTGATAAATTTAGCCAGCATGAAAAACAAGTCACTTCAAAAACAAAAGAGATCAATTAAAAGAAAATCCACAAGTTGGAGAGAAATGTGAGCTTTCAGTGCTCAGTGGAAACCATGCCTGTTCCCTGAAGCTGCCTGAGTGGAGTGTGTTATCTAAACTGCTATAAACACAAAAAAAAATCAAGTCAAAACTAGAGGGAAGATAATTCCTTTTAATTGTAAACAGTTTGGCTGAGAAGAATGGAAGGAGGAAAAAGGAGGTGTTAGGAGAGGTGTAAAATGAAAAAAAAAATCGCAGATCCAAATGCTCAAATTGTTTCTCTTCCGAATGATGCTGGCTCAACTGATAGGGGTTTTGGGGGGCCCTGAAAAATCAGTTGGAAAAAAAATTATGTGGCTGTTGTTCATTTACCTTTCTTCTCTGTGCTCTCTAGTGGATCCACTAAAATAGCCTGTAATTTATGGAGAAAGAGAATAGAGTGAGAGGAAGGTAAGAGTGAAAGTGATGACCCAAGCCTGGAATTACTGATGAGATGGGAATAGGAATATCATAATGTGTGTAAATTAGCCAGTGATGTGCTTCTGGCAGCTCACTACCACCACTGTAGCAAAATTCACTGCTCCATCAGACAGCTCTATGCTCACCCTGAGCTAAGAAGGGAGGCAAGCCCAGCATGGCACCAAGCACTCCCAGAGACCCCAATACAGCAGGGTTCTCACCGGAGCTTTCAGTTCTCCTGGGCAGGGTGAATTGCATAATCTGCATTAAAGCCAGCCCTCACTCTTACTACACTTCTCTTCCTGTTTTAAAAGCCCAACTCTTTGATAACCAGTGAAAGATGCTGTAAATCACAGCAGCAGGTGTGAACATGTGTGAACATAGATAACCACAGCTGAGATGTGTATGTCCATGTACAGTTCAAATACCTGTCCAAAAAGCCTAACAATCTCTCCTAACCCCAGGCTGCTAAAACCCTGCATTAAACACACACAAAGAAATCTTGGTCTCCACGGGTCACCTCAATCCTTGGGTTATTTCAAAGCTACAGTAAAGGGAGTAGGCTACCTCTGTGGTACAGATTTCTGTAATGATAGAAGCTCATTAGGAGAGCACAAAAGGCACAGTTAACAGGGGAAACCAGGCAGAAAAGGTTAAATAGGAATAGCATTGGTGAATGAGGGAAGCCAAGGCAATCCCTCTCTGTTTTGATTGAGAGAAGCCAAGGTAATCCCTTTATAGCTGTTTTGAAAGAAGACAGTGCCTGCTCTGTTTCAGAAGAGGAAGATGACGTAAAAAAACATGAAATATAGGTGTCACTGCTGGGTGCTTCATTGCCTTTTAGCCACTGCAGCTCAGATTTTGGGAAGGCTGCCCATACCCAGCCACTAGCAGGATGAGGCCATCTGTGGCTCCTCCAGAATTCTGTCGGCACATGTCATTCCTGACTCACAGCACTTCCCATTATTCCAGTTTTGTGTCTCACACACTTAAGTCTGTGAGAGCAGATCTCATTACATAGTAGCAGGATCGTCAAGAAAAACTCAGAAGAGCCAGTGGCCTTTATCCCAGCAGGCAGGATCTGAATCCTAACCTTGAGAGAGTAAATCCTGACACACCAGTTCTGTGTGCCTCACCCATTCCCACAATGATCCTCCAAGACACACTGAGAATGAATAATTTTCTGCTCTTACCATTTTATTTTTAGCATAAATACTACCCTAGCAGCCTCATACAGCACACTGCTACCATAGCAATACATTACAGTTTGGGACAATAACTATAAAATCCTAGATTATTTTCTTACGTATTTTAACTCTGAGAAATCTCAAACTTTGTCACAGCATGACCACATCTTGCAAAAGAAGACTTCACGATGGATGCCAGCAAGCAAGTTAACTCCACTGCACTTCTAATAGCTTGTACCACCTCCCTGGCCCAGCTGAGAGCTGCAACAGAGAGGAACCTGCACACTGAACAGACAGCTCAGCACCTCGAACAGGTAAAACCCACCGCAGGAAACACCCCCACCTGCATTATTGAAACGTCCCACTCACAAGACCAACAGAGCTGCACAAGATCCCCCACTGGGGAAGGGAGGCACCCCCACCACCACACCATGGGCAAGTGCTACCCAATCACCACACACTTCCCAAACTTGACCAGCAGCCTATTAATGCCAGGTCAGAGCCATCTGCTCAGCAGCCCACGGAGGGGGTCTCACCCTTGCTTTGGAGTGGCTCTCAACTGCTTATCAGCTATATGTGGAGAGTGAGTGACAGTATCTAATTGCCAACTAATTTCCATAATTACTGACTGGCACACTCTGTATGCAGGGTTAATATCTTTGAAAACGTCTCACAACAGACCTGCTTAGGAAAGAGGGTGAAAAGCTGGGCACAGTGCTGCTCTGAAGCTTATTTACCCAACTGCACAGAAAGGTTGCAGGAGATGGGTTTGTCACTCCCTGCCCTCCCTCCCCCACTGCCTCCCTCTCTGGCTGCTAATTGCTTGGGGATGGACTTATTTGTATTTGAAAGTGTAATTTTAAGCAATTTCTAGAGCAGAAAGAAGAGAGTTAGATGAAGCCAAAGACAGGTTAGCTTCCCTTGCAAAGCTCTGCCACTGTAGCCCAATGCAAACCTGTGTAAGTCCTCTTATTCTACCTCAGGATGTTGGACAAAATCCCATTGACACACTGATGGGAAAAGTTTACAGATCCCCCAGTTTTCTACTCACTTCTGTAACTGGAACTATTCATTATGCCACAATTTGTGTGGAAGGAAAAATATGCAGTCACCTAAGATCCACGTATTAATACCCCATGTGAACTCACTTTTTTCCGTGCCTTCACTGTAAAACAAGCAAAATCCAATGGTTTTATTTCCCTGGTCCTAAAGAAGCAGAGGACTTTTAGGAAGGGGTAAACAGGACCCTAATTTGGCTCTGAGTCCATGTGTGTTCCTACAATTGGCCCAAAGCACAGCAAGCAATCAGATCATTACAGCTCTATGGCATATGTTGCTCAAATAATCCAGTAAAATTCACAATCAATAACTGATATTAGAAGTCAAGCTTGCTAGCAGCAGAGAAATGGGGAATTAACAGTATTTATTCAGTCTGTCTTCACTTATCCAGTTCTCTAGTGAACAACAGGCTCCTTCTGGCTAACGCTTTGAGTGCGGGTCTCCTCAGAGCCCCCTATCTCTTAGGCAGAAATCTTTCTGCCTGGTCTATCCCCAGCTGAATTGTGGCTAAAATCAAAGGGTGAAAAAATAACAAAAAAAATAACCCTTGCAATGAAAAATGTACATGTGAAAACTGTGAGTTGCTAGTGTCGCTGTGGAAAAAAAAAGAGCACAAAAATCCTCCCATACACAGCATCCTCAGCAAGGATGCATGGTGAGATGTTTACAGAGAACTGAGAGGGGACATAGAGGGTTTGAAAATCAAGACACTAGAGAAAACCACAGGGATTAATTTAGTTTTTAATTCCTCTAGCAGCATTTGCATCTCAGCAATAGATCTGGACACTGCATCATCCCCTTGCTGGGATGGAGAGGACTCTGGGTGATGCCAGGGGAGCTGAGCTGAAAGAACTAGGATGAAGATAGAGGCAAACAGCTTCTGTCTTCATACAGTTCTATGATTCTCTTACCAAGGGAGATTTTGGTGGCACTACATTGCT